ACGAACACCGAATATTGAACTATATAGATAACCTATTTGTGAAAAAATTAATGGAGTTAATATAGCTCGATTGTATATGCCATAAAACTAGGTCCATAAAATCTCAAACTACAATTCTCTGTCTAAGTACTTGACATTAATTGTGGAAGTTTGCGGTAAACATAATATTTTTTTCTTTCGCAACCTAATTGAAGTGTTGTACCACACTGAAATAGCGCAGTCCAAATATTTATGTGAACGCAAAAGATAACTCATGAATCTTTTTGCATTGCCTGCGTAGTTGGATATATGTATAGGTTCTAATACTAATATGTATACACAAACGTTACGTCACGCATAGGTCACAGAGTAGGGTTTTTCTTCAAAAAATAGACCGGGCGACGGTCGCGGCGCGGCGGCGCCACTGGCTACGTTGGCACGGGACGCTTATGTAGTATTTGTTTTGTGGACGTCTTCACATCTGTTTCATTAAACATCCGCCCGTTTCAGTGTTGGAGCAATCCTTCTCATAATCGGTGTGAGCGTGAAATTTGTCGCACGTACTCGACGATAATCGCAATTTTTCTACTACGCCATTTCTTTTTATCCCCACGACGAGATATTTCTTTAACTATGATTTTTGGGACGATGTTGCGTAGATTTGTGGTGCTATTATTCGATATTAAGGAAGTGTTTAGTGAATCGCTTATCAACGTCTTGCTGAAAGACAGAGTGGAGATAATCCTATAACTATTAGAGTTGTTCGGCTTTCCTTGTTATTTGCTTAAAACGAGAGTATTTATTGTGTGATATTTTTAGTCTAAGGTTCCATTAATACGTAGGAAGGCGCTGATCTCGCCATAACATCTATAAATTTGTTCAATTAAAAGACTGCGACCAGAAATTAACAGTTCACGGCAATTACCGCCAATTAGTATTTCGCGAAAAGTATAATAAAACATTCAAAATGGATTTCCATCTGGATAGTACTATGTCCGGACTGAAAAGATGCATCAGTCAAGTTTCGATGCTTATGACGGGCAAACCGATTAACTCAACGGATTCTGCTTGGAGGGAAGAGTTATCAAAGTAAGTTGTAGAGGATTATGCCACTGTATATTTAGTAGAGCTGCGTCATAATCGAAGCAAGCCAACAAAAGGTAAGTTTGTGTGAACTGAACACTAAATGTGTTTCTCGGGGATTTCAAAGAATGATTAAGATTGTCATTGCCAAGTGAGAAGAGTTCAACAATGAACGATTTTGCATCAACATAACTTTGAATAGTTAATTGGTGCACATCGCCGCATTGATGCATACGCTTTATAGAAAAATCAGCAATACACTGTGACTAGAACCACGACTCAGTTATTGCGTTTTATTTTTTGTGATAAATATAATTAAAACGAAATTAACCTAGTTGGAATATGTCGCACTATGTCATATAATATTTCTTGAAACTCAGTTTCGTAATAATTAAATACGAAAATGCAAAAGTCATTGGAAATTACTACATTAATGTTCTCGTCCTGGATACAAAATAATTAAATATATTTGAAACGCCGCAGCGGCGCCGGGGCGTATGATCTTAGCGGTTTTCTACAAGAGATCTCATTTCGAAATTGTCAATTAAAGTGCAATTGGTACGTGAAACTCACGTTTAGCGGTTTTTAGCGTTCAGTTTCATTACATTACGAATTAAAGGTGCCGTATATTACGAAGTAATGTTATCGTTATAGCGTATTAGAGTAAAATGTACGTAGATGTTTGATTTTATATTAAATGTATTTTTTAACTTTCATCGTGATATCGTGATATGTTCACAACGATTTTTTATTTAAGACTGGGCTTAAAAATTTCATACTTTTTGAATGCATGTCCTGACTCGTGCCTATGTTTGATCAATGCCAATTTGGACATATATTTCTTTAAACCTTTTTTCTAGTAATTAATCACGACACTTACGTAATACGTTGACTTTCGATCGATACTTTTTTTTTGATAATCATGCGCGTTTTGAGGTTTATCGTATATTCATAAGGAATGAATAACAATTTCATCGAATTATTAACGAAGAAAAACAATTCATTATTATAAACAAATTTTCACGCTTGTAAGGTTACAAATATGTTGATTACCGCCACTAAGTATGCATGTTATGATTCGATTTTTTTTGTATCGATTCATAGAAAGGCAAATCAAATCTTTAGATCAGAAAACAATAAGCATTTTGTAATAATATCATTAAATTTGAACAAAATCGATTTACAACAAAAATACTCGCATTTAGTTGTAAACAGTTTTTGCTCTAAATTTCGGACATTAATGGGTTTTAACCCAATTTAAACCTAACGTTAACAAAGTGCCGGGTAGAAAACCGGACGCTTGCTCATCTCTGCGTACAACCAAATACAAAAATGTCAATTAGTGCAACAAAAAGTAAAAGATAAACAACTTACAACAAAAACTTAAAAGTTTATTTTTGGTAATTTAATTATGTTTGTAAAAAATCAAATAAAAGTTGTCGTTTATGATTTTAGTAATACAGTCCTGCGAGGTTGATGGTTTTTTTTACAAATAACCCTATATATAAATTAAATCAATCACTTCCATTGTTATTGCGAAAATCGAGGACTTGCCCACAAACACACACATAAAACATATGGAGGAAACATAAAACTGTTTTTATGGTTAGCCTAAAGTCGTTTAAAAATTTAATTAGACCATTGATGAGCAAGGCTTCGTGGCAATAGAATGTAAACCAACTAAGTATAGAAAATAGTCTTTATTAAAATGCCTTTTGTCACAACTTGCACATGCTGATATCATTTATGAAATATGCATGCTGAATTAATAAATTGATAGCTTATTCATATAACTTTCATTCAATCATTCATCATCAACCCATTTATACGTCCCACCGCTGAGCACGGGTCTCCTTTCAGGCTAGGATTTAGGCCATAGTCCGCCATGTTTTTCTTCGCCAAGAAGTAATAAAATTAGTCAATTTCAAATTAAATTTCGTACATGTATTCCGGAAAACTCAGTGATGCAGCCCGGAATCGATTATATGAGTTTCAATGAACTGTAAACTGTTTGCAATAAACGGTTTCTTCCATTTATATCGAGCATTTATGTAGTGTGTTACCCCTGTTTAGCAAGGTCGTTAATTTATTGCTCTGTCGCTTCTCGATGCACTTAAATACAATTAAAACACGCTAATTACAGTATCAATGCAAAGTAGTAAACGCGGTACTTATACAAGGTACGACACGATATACTTGGTGAAGTATTAAAAGTCAAAAGGATGCAATATGAACGTTATGTAGAATACATAACGTTCATATTTAACGTTCATTTCTAACAAAGCAGTCCATAAGTTTTGAACATGAAAACTGCTGGCAGCTACCTTGGCCACGTATTAGCATAGCCAAACAAAGAGGGAACGATGCCAGAATTTTGGACACCCTGTCACGGGGGCCCAATTTCATCCATTCAATGCAGCCCAAGTCCAACTATTTAAAAGTTTTTACTGCTATGCTAGCTATATATATTTAGAAATAAATCCTCTCCATATGGAGATTTAAACTAGCTAGAACGATGAAGGGTATTTTCATCATTGATTTAAGCTCGGGTTTGCCAATTTAAAAGCTAAGCCGTTTAAATAGATGCTATTCATTTTAAGCTACAATTAATAACATTACTGTTGTAAAAACTCTTCTACTCAAAAAATAATCCTTATTTTGTAGACCATTGTGATTCATCATATTTATTCAGAACGATTCAGTAATTGGGATGAATGTGACCAATAGTTTGTTTTAATTTTTTTAGCAATAAACATGTTTTGTGAACACATTGTTAGTAGTTCCAGTCTGGCGGTAGCACAATACATTATTGTACGTCATATCGAACGTCGTTGCCGGTAACAAAGATTACATTTATTGATGCAAGAAACATTATTTCAGTACCATAATTTTATATTTTGATACAAAATACCATTTTATTAGATGTCGTAATAGATAAACTTATTTTTTTATACAATGAAAAACTTCACAACATTTTTTTATACAATGTTAAACCTTTATATGAAAAAGATAAAAATGTTTCAATATAAAAGCTTTCTGACAAATAAGTGGCACTTTATGGACTCCCACTCGAGTGAGATAAGTCAGAGTGTTTGCACGGACCACATTAAATTAATGGGTTGTTGTACCTATTACCTACTTTACTAAACTCGGTGGTTTTTATACTCTTTACATGGAGTAAATATCATATATCTATTAAGTTGGTAGTTTTAAACCAGATAGATTAAATTAATTAAATATTACGCGTTTATCAACGATTGAACCGATCTGGCGATCAGATCGGTATTTTAAATTGATTAACTTATTTATTTTAGAATTTGTTTTCTTATTGTGTCTGTTCATAAAACATCGGACATCAAACTTATAAATAAACATTATACATCCAATATTCCGTTATCACAAAGTCGAAATTTTTTTTGTCCGAAATAACGTTTCTTTGAATTTTCATTACTCCGAAAACCGCATTAATAACGAAACGGTTGTTCTTTCAGGATATGTTGAATGTTTATCGCAAAGACACGATTAGGTTCGGTTAGGTTAGGCTAAGTTAGATTTAGAAGGAACGACATTTTCCTGTCAAAATTACTTTCGAGGCTATGAAATTTCGACTATATATATATATAGCACCCATAAAGAAACTAAATAATATTTAGCAATACAAAATTAATTCTTACTGATACTTTTCCATTCCTTATTGACACATGTAGTTTACACAATTTTCCGAACAATACTCCGATTTCTAAGTGCTTCAGTATTTCAACCGAATTTCATTACCTATAAACTTTTAGATGGTGAATTTTTAAATAATTTCATATGACAAAGAAAGAAACAACTTTCTTAGCGTGTGAGAATTTGAACGAAAATTATCAAAAAATAAAGTATAGTTATCAAAGCATATCCATTGTTTAATCAGAGTATTAACGTCTTTTTTTTTTCAGATATCGCCAAGCCCGTTACGCAGCTCGACGCGTGCGTAAGCGAGTAATTTTCAAGCACGGAGAATGTAACGTCGTTCAATGGAACGTGGCCAAACGCAGGCGCCGATACTTGCAGGACATCTTCACTACCCTTGTGGACGCACAGTGGCGCTGGACGCTGCTCATATTCTCCCTCTCCTTCATTCTCTCCTGGTTACTCTTCGCTCTCATCTGGTGGCTCATCATCTTCACCCATGGCGATCTCAACCCCCCGCCGCCAAACACCACCGCTCCAATTCCGTGCCTCAATAACGTCAACACCTTTACTGGCTGTTTCCTCTTCTCCATCGAGACCCAACACACAATTGGTTATGGCTCAAGAACCACTAATGAGGAGTGTCCTGAAGCGATCTTTGTTATGTGCGTGCAAAGTATTGTCGGTGTTTTCATCCAAGCATTTATGGTAAGAATTATTCATTCGTTTCCACTAGAAATCCTTACGTATTGAATGAAAAAACAGCACCAATACACTATAATTTATACTGACCACAACATTAAGTGTTAAGTAGTTTCTTTATCACTCACGTATGAAAAAAAATGTTCTTGCTTCGATGCGAGGAATATGATAATATCACACTTATTAAAATAAACTTGGCTTCCAGCCAAACGTATAAACGTAACCAACTCTACGATCCATCCAGATACTCTTTAAAAATTATTACATATTTAAGATACCTACTTTAACGATTTATTGATTTTTATATAAGGGTTTAATAACCCATTTATGTATGCTATACGGGTATTTTGGATGAGCAAATGGAACAACAGATACTTTTAAACCAGATTGTCATGACAGTGAGTGCAAGGTTATTCTAATTTTAGGTGGGAATTGTGTTCGCAAAGCTCTCTAGACCAAAAAAACGAGCGCAGACCCTGCTATACTCGCGGAACGCCGTGATATGCTTGCGGGATGGCCAACTGTGTCTGATGTTCCGAGTCGGCGATATGAGAAAATCGCATATTGTCGAAGCCCATATAAGAGCACAGATTATCCGCCGCAAGGTATATTATTTCAACAAACCGGAGACTGGTTAGTGATTGGGGATTTCAGTCAGCACGCCTATACGTCTAACTACTGACTCCACTCCCTAACTTAATGGGTTTCGAATTCTGAAGACCAACTCTATAACTAGGAACAACTGAAAGATTTTCAGATTTCGAGACCCACAGTATTGATACTGCATTACAATTTTTTTTTCTCTTGTCCCTAGGTGGGTCTAATATTTGCAAAGCTGGCGCGGGCCAAAAAGCGTAACACCACCCTCCTGTTTTCGAGGAATGCGGTGATCTGTTTGAGAGACGGGGAATTTTGTCTACTATTCCGAGTTGGAGACATACGCAAGTCGCATATTCTCGAAGCCCACATACGCGCTCAAATTATTCGTAAAAAGGTACCTCTCAAACTATTTAAGACCTAAAAGTATTTAACTATCAGTTTTGTTCATTTTAGACCCAACTCTGGACTTTTATCATTCGACTTCCATGCTTGATTTTGCTTACTTCTCTTATTTTAACATTCACCTTTGCATTGTTTCGTGTTCGCTATTTGTTTGATAATGCATTACCCCACATCTTTTTGTAGTTAAAATACAGGCAAGACATATTTTTCGTGGTGTGTCATCGGAAATTGAGATAATGGAATTTTAATAACAAAAACTAAATTTAACCTTTTTGCGTTGTTTGTGTCAGAGTTCTGGAACGAATCAAATGTATTCGATTGCTGACTCATGTACGTAAATAGTGTATTCAATTCAAATGCTGGATGTAGATTGGTAGGTAATCCTGTTATGATTCTTATGTACGTTTCAATAAAAATTAAAACAATATCCATAACTTAGTCCTAATATTCGCTGGAACGTTTCAAAGTAAAATTTCACACCCTTGTTACGTTAACGCATGAAAATAAACCAAAGATTCTTTTAGCACCGTTCATGCTTGTTGATATTATGAATAAGAATTTGTTATCGATATCATTTGACAATTAAATCTTAACAAACTGAGTGCTTACAAAATGTCATTAGTATAGTAGTTTTTCATTCAGTTCATATCAGCTGTCTTAAGAAATAAAAGCATAACATGCAAATGAATAAACTATAAATAACTAACAAACATGGGTAACCATTGTGTCCTCACTTCAGTTTTTTAAATCTGGATTTGTTATTCTAAAATACTGGAACCGGACAAAAATCATTCATTTAGGTGTATAATTTACAGACAATTTGGTATTACAACACATCTATCAGACTATCGGAATTCAGAATTGAAAAACTAAAGTGTGAAGAGATGCTTTAATCTCAAGTCAAAAGAAGCTAAGTAAGATTGTTTGGTTAATCTAGATAACCAGGGAAGGCGAAGTGCTGCCGTTCTATCAACAGGAGCTAAAGGTGGGAGCTGATGGAGAGGAAGATAGGTTGATGTTCATCTGGCCCATGACAATAGTGCATAAGATTAATGAGAAGTCACCGCTATACGGGTTATCCGCTTCAGATATGTTGAAGGAAAGATTTGAAATAGTTGTTATGCTAGGTAAGTTTTTGTTTTAATTATTATCTAGTAATAATATGACTTACTAATTATTTAGTTGTAGTAGCAGTAGAGCTCCTTGTGAAAGAGTTCGTTCAGGGAAGTACTGCCACCTTACCTATTTCTGCCGCCAAGCAGTAATGTGAGCATCACTGCGTTCCGATTTTGAAGGGTAAGGGTGGTGGTGAAATTACAGGCACATGAGACTTTTCAACTTATGTCTCAGGGTTATGAGCGCAGAGGCAATGCACCTCAGATCTTTGCGATTTAAAGCTCGGGGTGGCACTGCAATTGCTATGGACAGGCGTGTCGTTTACCATCAGGCGTACGACTCGTTCGTCCCATCACTTAGTATCATAAAAAAATTATATGACTGACCTGGAACTCTAGTTTCTTATTTCACATTTATATATTTATCAAAAAATTTCTGTCATTTACTTTACAAGGAAATGAAAGATATTTTCTGATAATTACGCAACGCGAGGCGTTCAATTTTGTCGATGTAGTGACTTTCTAGTATTAAGGTTAAATATGCATCCTGACTATATGTATGTGTAGCAGAACTATGGAACTATGGCGCACATTTCTCAATATCCATAAAGTTCAACAATAAATGGGTTTAGGAGTGATTGAAAACATCGTAAACTAACACAGTTGCGTCATTTAGCTCCGAATGTATTAATAAATAGACAAGTTAAAATTGTAACAATTGAAGTATTGTAACAGTTTCGTGGTTTCGTGGTTAGAATAGTTTTAGTTGTTTTAGGTTAGATTAGCGTAGTATTTGAAGGCTTCTAACTTACATAAAATTCAGACTAATTCTGAAGACAATTTCGATATTTTTTACGAAGATTTAAATAGTTGATAACAATTTACAATTTTCACGAATTTCACGCTCGTAATATATTATACAAACATAAAAGGTTATGAGCCATACATGAACGTGTAAACAATATTTACACATTGTGACTGGTTCAGGAGATTCCAAGTGACACATTTATGATTAGGTACCTTGTTATTATCAGGAAAGGCAACTTTATCTTAGACAAGTCACAGACAAGTTGTGAAATTCTGATTAAATTGCAATGAATAAGCAATATATCATATACAATAAAAGGTAGTAAAAAGTAGTAGGTAGGTAAAAGCAGCAATAGCGCTCCTTGTGAAAGAATTCATCCAGGGACTGCCACGTTACCTGTTTCTGCCGCTAGACAGTAATGTGAGCAATACTACGTTCCGGTTTTGAAGGGCAAGGGTGCCGGTGAAATTACAGGCACATGGGATTTGTCAACTTTTCCCTTAGGGGAACAGGCAGACAGACAGTAACCCTCAATCTTTGCGATTTAAAGTTCTGAGTGGCTGCAATTGCCTATAGACAGACGTGTCGCTTAACACCAGACGCGCGACTAGTTCGTCCCGTCACTTGGTATCATAAAAAAATCAAAACCTGAATCCATCACGAAATCTTCCGTATACAGGTTCTACATATAGGAATCAAACTTCATTCGAGTATGTTTTGCAACTTACTCATTATATATCTAAATCCTCAGTTCCCAAAGTGGTCCAGGTGGACCCCCAGGGGCCCACGGGAGACTCGACGAGGGTCTACATTGGCGTGACATAAAATAATATGGGTATGGAATATGGTACAAATGTAGCCGCAGGGGGTCCACCGGAACTAGCTAAATTTTGAAAGTGGTCTATGAGAAAAAAAGTCAAGGAACCTCTGATCTAAATCATAAAATGCAAGTGCAAAGTTACATAATGTTGGTATAAACTGCCTCTGTGGCCGAACGGTTACCATGCCGGACTGCCACGCAGAGGTCCCGGGTTCGATTCCCGGGCCGAGAGAAATATTTATATGGCCTACATTTATTTCTCTAGTGAGTTTGGGTGTAATTTGTGGTTGTCTTTGTGTGTGTCCATGGCACCCGCGGCACAGGCTTTCCCTAGTGCGGGGCTATGTTGAATGTGTGCGTTATTATAGTTATTAGTTTGCCCTGAACTCTGCGTTAATGGCTCTTGTTGTATTTATAACTTTATTACTCTTTACATGGTTTCGCTTGTGACTTTGCTGTTTTCTACTTCCCAACAGTTCGCAGCACATTAAAGTAATGTACGAATCAAATATTTTCATCAATTAAATTTAATGTTTACAGTGATGAAGTTAGATATCTATTAATAAAAAATAAAAACCCTTGAAACAATTTAAAAATATCGATAAAACCATACAGTCAACAAGTTCTAGAAAAATCAAACAACAGGCAAACAATAAACACGTGCAACAAAGCACTAGTATTGAATTGTTTTCTTTATGAAAACAATTCAATACGTATTACCTACGTCACTAGAGTTAATTAATTATTCAATATAATTAAATAAAAATATGTCTATAAGTTTACGCTTTAGCTTTGCACATTACTATTGAACATCCAAATTCTCATCCAGAACCCCACAACTCTTCTGATTCTACAAAGAAAACCGTTTTTTCAATACTTAGTCGCCGCTAGAGGAACTGCGACAGGACTTTAGAGTGTCATAGAATGCGCTGTCATATTAAACGAAATATCTCCCAATAAGTCAAGGTAATCAAATTCACCTTTTATGATGCTTAATATATAGGTAATGAGTTAAATTTATTATTTGATTTAAAGGCCCTTTATCTGTTAGTGCTAATTAGAGACTAGAGGCTTGAGAAGTGTGGCTGGAAGTGACTTGCACAGGAACTTCGAAAGGCTGAATACTGCAATAGGTACTTTGGGAAAGGCAAAATTGTTTCCAGTGACGCTCTACGCAGGATAATAATGATCGTAACGAACAAAAAATAATTTTGGTTTTTCTTTGTAAATTGCAGAAGGAGTAATCGAGTCGACGGGGATGACGACGCAAGCTCGCAGTAGCTTCTTGCCATCTGAGGTGCTATGGGGACACCGCTTTGAGACCATGGTGACCTTCAGAAAGGATACTGGCGAATATGAGGTTTGTAACTGTAGAAACTCTATAACTTTAAAGGAATATGTGATAATATGATTTTCCACATTGATAATTTTTTCTAAAACAATGTGAATATGTGAAATGTTTGTAGAAGAATTTATTAACTTGTGTGATAAAAATAATAAAGAATATGTACCTATAATAATCATGTTCTTTAGACTATTGTATTGATTTAGGCTCAATTCACGTTACTGTGGAGCAGAATGAAAGCTAATTTTGGTAACCATAGTTTATGTCAATTATGTAATGCACATAGATTCGATACGGTAGCTACGAGAATTTCTGAAATTGTTCAAGAATTCTCCGGTAAACGCGCGACCTGTTTTTTTACTCATATCTAGTTTGTACGTTACACAATTGACATAAAATTAATTTTGCTATGGTTACAAAAATTCGCTTCCATTCCGTTCCGCAGTAACTTGAATTGCGCCTTATACCTTTTAGCCGTAATTTAGTATTGGTACGTCATACACATAAATCACAAAGTACGTCACGAAGAATTATCAACAAGAGGTAGATTGTATAATATATTATACACTTTACATAATGAAATAAATACAGGCGTTTCGTATTTACATGGAATAAATTTTCCATTGACGTGAATTTGACGAGATAAATAAGGAAAACAAAATTATCATCTTGCGAATGTTCAACAGCTATCCATTAAGCCTTACAGTCTATTGACTCTGACATTGTAATTAGCATAAGTATTTATATAACTGCCGGTAACTGTTATGGGCCATGGTACCTCTATACAGGGTGTAACCGCAAGGTGTAGTCATATTAAAGGAGCCAAACCTATACTTGATCTAGACCCTCTGTGCAAAATATCAAATAAAAATAAATGACTTTTAATGTTGATATAACTTTAATTATGTTTGTATAAATAGTGATTGTCCGAAACAACCACTGCGTCACAACTCTATTGCTAGTTACGTTACTACGACTTCACAAATTCATTCATGAAACCTGGGCGGAGCGGCGAAAGAACAGCTGACTACAATTGAAATGCCACTGTAAAAACATGATTTGAATATGTTGATAACACGTTAATATTAAGTAACAAAATCTTTAAATACCTAGAAAAATCGAATTATTTCTAACAATATTATTTTATACCATACCTAGGTACGTACTTATTTACATACAATTTAAAGGATATTTATTTACTTATTAAGCCCGTAGTTACGCACGCCTTCATCGTATACACATTCTACATAATTTTGTATTAATACATTTATTTACGACAATTTTACAATAGTGGATACTTTTTTAATTGGTACTTACCTACTGTGCAATTCATACACGTTTTAATGAATTTCCTACGAATTGTAATTCACTGTTGTACAATGTACGAAATATTGACTTGTTTACGATAATTTTGAATAATAAGTACAATCACTACACGCACTGCTGGCACATTTCACACATTTACAGGTAAGGTTCAAAATGCCGACCTCCATACAATATGCATATTTCCGTGCGTCGGTACAGAGACTGCTCTACTCTTTGAAGCATCTGCCGAGTGATTTGACTAAACGCCATTTCGATCCGCTGCCTCATTTCTTCTGCGCTTTCACAGGACTCCGCATAAACAATATTTTTATATGACCCCACAAAAAAAATCGAGCGGTGTCAAGTCTGGGGACCACGCTGGCCAGGGTACAGGACCTCCCCGCCCAATCCACTGCGGGAGACGGTCGTTCAGATGGGAACGTACATTTCGAGCAAAATGTGCGGGTGCTCCATCGTGCTAGAAAGTCATCCCATGTTCCATCACGAGTCTCACGTATTGTGTCACTGGCAGGGCCATCAGAACGTCACCCAAGTCTTCTGTTAGGAATCTTAAATAATTGGCCCCATTCAGACTTGCCGGCAAAAACACTGGACCGATGACGGCACAACCTATTATACCAGCCCACACGTTAATCCGCCACTGGTGTTGAAAATTTGATTCCCTTGATACGCGGGGATTCAAATGAGTCCAAAAATGTTCATTATGCATATTGATAATGCCCGCACGCGTAAATGACGCCTCGTCTGTCCACAGTACCGACGAAGCGAAGTCGGGAGACCTCCCAATCTGGTCGCGGTCGTAAACGTAACGGAACGTGGATCATAGTCCGCTTGTAACAGCTCCTGCGTTCTTTGAAAATGGTATGGGTGCTGGCCATCATCCCGTAGCACACGCCACACACTCATATGGTTCACACCACCAAAGGCTGCCGCAGCACGACGAGTACTTGTCTTTGGATTGCCGAGAAAATGTTCCAAAACATCTGCCTCGAATTCTGGGTCTCGTGAACTCGGCCGGCCTTCAGAACTGGAACCACGGAACGATCCACTATTATGAAGTCTCATAACCATCTTCCTGAAGCATTCCACAGCAGGAAATGGTCGACGTCGATTTTCTGGGACGCCATCAATAAACTTTGCCCAATAAATTTGGCGAGGCTGGCGCAAGCTCCCATCGGCTGCGCCTACGCACAACATCATCTCTTAGTAATCACTATTGCTTAAGCGTGACATAGTTTAAATAAACACAAAAACAAGACACAAACAAAACGATGACACCTATTTAGTCCTCACAACGCAAACGGCAATTACAGACTGTTACAAAAAATAAAAAAATAGCACCTCTGCCTCAGCGGCGGCACATCAAAGGACGCCGACTGAAACGCAAATTTTGGAATATAGGGTAACGTTTTCATAATGTACCTACAGGGTGAAATTAAAATTATTACCATCCTTTTGAAATAAGACCCTTCTCCTGATACAAATTACATCATTACATACACATTAAACGAATACCTATATCCTACGTCTACGACCTTCAACGTTGCACTGCATACGCCTTTGTTTGTAAACAAGCTCTGACCATCACCCGTACCACTTCCACATAATGCAAGAACTGACTGAGTGATTACGGATATACTGCACTAAGGAGGCAGTCACCCATCGGAAACTCACGACGTCCGAAACGAAAGCCTAACACACTAACCACTACACCATGGAGGCAGTCGACTATAGGAATCAAATCCACGACCTCCGAAACGAAAGCCTAACACTCTAACCACTACACCATGGAGGCAGTCGACTATAGGAATCAAATCCACGACCTCCGAAAACAAAGCCTAACACTAACCACTACACCATGGAGGCAGTCGACTATGGGAATCAAATCCACAACCGCCGAAACGAAAGCCTAACACTCTAACCACTACACCATAGAGGCAGTCGACTATGGGAATCAAATCCACGACTTCCGAAAAGAAAGCCTAACGCTCTAACCACTAGACTATGGAGGCAGTCGACTATGGGAATCAAATCTACGACATCCGCAAAGAAAACCTAACACTCTAACAACTACCCCATAGAGCCAGTCAACTATGAGAATCGAATCCACGACCTCCGAAACGAGTCTAACATTAACCACTAATCCACATCACCATGTATAAAATCAAATGCTGGCGGCGAAAATCAAAGGTGATATTTTTGCCGCCAAAGTTGCCGCCAAAGGCTTGCGACTTCGCTACGATTACGTATCGCGTACGCAAGGCGACTAATCTTGATACTTTGTTTATTTAGGTAAGATTTTTTATGGTTTTACACTATTGCTAATTTAAACTATTCTAAAATATTTCTTTAGATGAGTAGATATTATTAGGAAGTAAGAACCTTAATAGGTTCAACGGATATTAATTATTTCAATTTCACCATGTAATAAACCCATACCCAGAAAGTTGTCGTGTGTAGATAAGTCAAATTAAGCGTAAGCCTGTTGTTAGAAACGTGCGCTCAGCAATAGACGTATGTAAGTTAGTAAAGTACTATTTTTTGCACAAGGTTTAGTCCACTGCACTTGCATAGTAAGTACTGGTTGGAAACTTGACATTCTCGCATCTTTGAAGATTTCGGCAATTATCTCCGAAATCCAAGTTTTCTCACGATATTTTCATTTCCAAGCAAGTGATGAAAATTTATTTTATTTTTATTTTTTATTTTTTATTTATGGCACAATGTACAGACATCAGATACAGAAAGTGAGGAAAATAAAAACAGTTAAAAATTAATACAACAGGCATATCTGTGCCCAATTATTACTGTGCTCAACATTCATTTTAAAACATTTAGATATACTTAAACAGACACTAAATCAATCATAAAAAAAAAATTAAATTAAATTAAAATTACAATAATTAATTCGTGGTCAACGATCAAAACTAATTTCTTGACGTTTACCGACCTTCAGGTTGCACCTTTACGATGAAAGTGTCCCAATACAAAATTTCAACTTTTTGGGAATTCAAAAGAAAATAAGATTTCAAGTTTTTTCATATTTTCATATTATTTTATTTATTACCTACTCTTGAAGTACTAAAGGTGATGGCCTTATTAGTCTTTGAAAATAATGAGGAAAAATGGAACTTTACAACTGAAAATTGTTTCTGATCATTTTAATGTTCAACAATTTAAAAACATAATTTACAAAAACTAGTCGCCAATAGGTCTTTTTTTTAACGATTTTTTGTTATCATTTAACGTATTAAGAATTAAGTCTTTTTAATGTTCATCAGCTAAGCAAGATGTCATAACCCTTGATATTGTTTTGTGGTCCCTGTTTCACAATTAAAAAAGAAGAAAGTCCACGAAACAAAAAAGTAAGTCCCTTTAAAAAGTAAGTTACTAAAAAATTTTTTTTTTTAAAATATTAAGCGACGGGTCGAACAAGTCGTGTACCCGGTGGAAAGCGTCACGCCTGTCCATAACATAGCACTGCCGCTCGAAGGCTACTGCTACGGCGTCCATCTCTCTGAGACATAGTTGACAAGTCCCATGTGCCTGTAATTTCACCAGCACCCTTACCCTTCAAAACTGTAACACGGTAATGTGGCAGTACTACCCTGGACGAACTCACAAGGAGCTCTACTGCTACTAGTGATTTTTGAATATGATTTTCGGAACGAAAATGGCTCAAATGCTAATCCGTCAGTGGCAGCGTGTTGTCTTTGCAAATGCAGATTCAACAATAAATGCGGCGTTAATATTTCGACGCGGGAGTAGAATTTTTAAACTGAAAGAACAAAATGAAAGGGACCTTTATGAATCAGTGCTATTCGAGCTTTAATTGCACAATTTCATCTTCACCACAGTGTGACTAATGTAACAAAATATTTTTTTAAGATGGTTTTACGGTATAAACTCATTTTTTAATTTTTTGATTTGGGTCGCTTTCACTGTAAGGGTGCGAAGTATTAGTCGGATAATTGCGTCATATTGCGTCATGCGTTAGAAGAAACATACCGACGCCGCCATGCGTTAGAACAGTACCGACGGATAGAAAGAGACAAATTTCATTCATTAAAATACAATAGATGAATGCGTATGGTAAAAAGAAACCGAGATAACTTTAAATATGTGTTTTTTAGAGGACATTAGTTTTATTAATGGATATTAAATGGAAATTTGTGTATTTTGTATGTTTGAAGATATGAAGTTAACGAAACCATATTACGTTATTATGTACTAAGTTTTAAATAATAGTTTTATTATGAACTAGTGTATTTTGGCAAAGTAATCGATAATATTTATTTTTCATTAAATGTTCACACGCATATTACATGAATAAAATAATAATAAATTTAGTAAATTATAACATAGTAATAAGAATATGGCATTAAGTACTTTATCATTTACAACAACATGCCTGAATTTCACAATTTTTTCAAGTTACGTAATTTGGTTGTATTATGATACTCAATAGAGATGTGATGTGACTATTTATTTTCGTTAAATGACATCAGCTGATCGAAACTGTTCATGGCGAAATTTCCATAAATAACGTAGTTTGTACTAAAACAACTTTGCTAAATAGTTTCATACCATTAACTGAATCCGACCTTCAAATATGACTACACCTTGCTGTTACACCCTGTATATGTATGTTGCAATAAGATGATTAAAAGTTACGTACATACCTACAGAAGGAACTTTGTTAGAACAAAAGTGGAACTAAGAGAATAATAACAGATTTACAAAATTGCCAATGGCGTCTCATTTTTTCCATATACATATAACCATCAAAGTATATTAACAATTAATAAAATAAAATAAAAATAAAAACGTAAAATATTTACGAGTATTACAGTCGAAATTGTTCAGTTTCGCTCAGAGACTGTAATGCAGTAAAATAAGGAAAATCCATTAGCACTACAAACCAATTAGTCCACCGCGAACTGTTTATCATATTTCAACATTGACATATAGCATGTTTTTCGAATCTTTGCTATTAATCATTCGTTTGTAAAGACGGTAAAAATATCGATGACAGTACCTATAATTATGACAATAACATCCCTGGATAACGTAGAAGAATATTCAACACTAAAAATATACATTAAAATCTCTTATAACTCTCTCCTAACAATATATAAATAAAAATGTATTGTCTCCTCAAGCATTGCCTACATGTAAAAATAAACACTACATAATATCGAAATATATTATCAGGTCGTGGAGGCTGGTCCCTAAACCAGGAAAACCTGTTTCCCAGGTAACCAGGTCTCCACCCCCTGGCTGATGAACAGATATTGAAGAAAAGGACTATTTAGTTTTATTAGCCATAATCTCAACAAGATATGTACACTTACATTTTCAGCAAATAATTACGCCATTGATGGCAAAATAAATAAGTATGAGACATAGAAAGATATATTGAAGTTGGGTTTTTCCTTCTCATTTACTTACACCATAAATAAACGAGGGACATCGCATCAAGTAACTTTTAAATTAAATAAGCAAGAGCTTATTATTTATAGAGAAATCGTCTTATCATTTCAGGTCGACTACACGCGATTCAACAACACTTATGAGGTCGATACTCCTCTTTGCTCTGCTAAGCAACTTGATGAGCTACGAGCTACTGTTTCTACTTCCCAGAAACTTGGTAAGTTCTAACATATTCAAGGATTTCAAATTTACTTCTAAAGTTGAAATGTTCAGCTAAGAAAATCATGCACTAAATTTTTTTACATGAATTTTGTAATTATTCTTTTCCAGATCGCATGTTAGGCCTTCCGAAAACATTCTCTAATGATACATTAGACCTAAGTTCCGTGGACTCCATGTCCTTAGATGAGCACATCGAAATCAAGATCCCTGAAGCTAGAGCAAGGGAAAACAGGCAATTGGCACAAAACAACTTTGTACAACACATTAATGAAAAATCTAGAAACGCAAGCCACACACATTTGACGGTAGAAAACGCACAAGAACTACTTCCTAAGAATCATATTGAAAAGAGTTTAGAAACAAAAGAAAGTCATCAGGCTTATCACGGCCATCATGGAAAGGATCATCACGGGAAAGAAGGACATCACATGCACAGAAGCAATAGTCACGCGAATATGAAGAAAGCGCATGGATTGATCCCCAACGGAGTTGGTCACATCGTGAATGGTCACCACCATGATTATGAACATAGTAAAATTAAAAAGTAAGTAGGTACCTATTTTGTACTTTGCGGCGTCGACATAAATCATTATAAAATAACAAATATTATTTTCCTTAGGGTTCTTTAAGGTCACTGACACACAATTGAAATAATTCTCTGATAAAACTTCCCCTTGAGGAAACTGAACTTTCAAAGAACTGCAGTGGGTAACACAATTTATTCAAGGCCAATTTGTTGTCATAAACAGGTGCTCACGTACTAAGATGATTTAAGCCTTGGCTTCTCGTTAGTGCAAATGAATTTTCCTTCTTTGCGTTATTTCCTTATCTTAAAAAAACTGTTTCTCTTGAATAGCAAGCAAGCAAGACGAAAGGTCGAGAGGACATATAACGACTGTTGCTGTGTCAAAAATGTCAAATGTTTCTACATAAAACTAGAATTGCGCTATACTTGAGTATAATTAGTTTTGAGAAAAAACGAACAATACCAAGATACATAAGTATCAGAATCTTTATTGAAGAAGTTTCTATGAAATACTTTCAGATCTCCAAGCGAAACGTTCATCGAGGAGAAGTCGCCAGTGATCCCCATCCTGGTGACGTCTGCCGATCCCGAGCCCGCCTGACGCCTTTTGCGATGCTATAACCTGTTGCTGGTACGTGAGTTCCAAAAACTCAAAGGGAGCCCATGTTCACTTTCGATTTGTAGATTAGGTAATACAAGCAGTGTACTAAATGATAGTGTGTCTTTGCAGCGTTAGATGAACAAAATTGTTGTTTTCTGAGACTCCGTATTTCGTAGTCTGTGGCATAAACTTTGGAGAATTTTTCTGCTAAGCCGGTCTTATTAGACCTCCGAAGTTCTTGAATGTATAGTGTAAATGATGGTGTGACACAAGTCTTCCAAAATGGATAATTGGCCAAATTTCGCACGCTATGTGTAATAAGGCCACATCTGCAAAATAACAACTTTTCAAGAGAGAGAGTTTTAAAAGTTTGTACGAACGAAATTAGTCGTTAACTTTTTATTCTTAAGTATAGACATAAAATTTCACATATACATGGTTTCGATACCTCCAATGAACATTACGCCTACTAATTTAGTTTTTTGTTTCTTTATTATTTTTTTTTTTCATAAAATTAGTTTTATGTTTTTTTTCCGATTTTGTTCTTTTTCTTTATATTTTTTTCATGAAATGCGGGGAAATGTTATTATTAATAGACAAATATGGCATTTCTTTACAGAAATAGACCAAAAATAAGCGTTCATTGGAGGTATTGATTTGTTTTACGTAGTTCGTATTATTTTTATGACTTTCATGTGACGAACTTACTATTCACGTATGATGTGGCGTTATTATAATCAAGAGTACGATTTATAGTTATAGTATTTAAGGGATTCCGCAATTATGTCTGACTGATTCATTTAGTTGAACTAGTTGTTAAGTTGTGAAATTAATTTGACGACTACAGCGTGTTACTAGATGTTTGTGAAGCCTGAATGGCTATTTTGGAATAGCGTTATGTTATAAATTTAAAAAACATAAAAAAGTACTGAATGGATAATTTTTATATATACATAATATTTAGTTATCAATACATAAACGAGAATATGTCGTCGGTGTTTTATAGAAACGGCGAAAAGATTTTCTGGGGAGCATATTTTAGTTTTTCACGACTATTTTAAAATATGTACGTCCTGTTTTAAATTCAGTTTTAATTAAAACTATACAACTTAATTAAAACCATAATTGAATTTTAAAACGTAACGTAAATATTTTAAAACAGTCGTGAAAAACTAAAATATGCTTCCCTGAAAATCTTTTCGCCATTTCTACAACCGTTAAAACCATGAACCCCTGAAAAATTTTTCGAAATGGCGCTTTCGCCCTTTCTACAAAACACCGACGATATATTTATTGGTTTCATTTAGTAATTTTTTTAATTTTCAAATCGTATTATCTCAATTCCATAATTTTGAGTTATGATAGTGTACAAATTACTTTGCTATTATCTTCGAAGAAAGCATTCTCCTAAGTTTTGTCAATCAGAACTAGTTAGAAGAATTTATTTGATACATTGTCCCACTTACTAGTAGACGTACCAAGCAATTTTAACAAGGACTAATTTATTTATATCACAACATAGAACAAGAAATTCTGACTTGAACTATGATAATAACCATTGGATTTCCAGATGTCCAGCAGGATAATCATTCGTACTTGGCCGATATTTCCTTCAAGCGTATTATGCGCTTTTCGTCATCTTTTATTGTCTACCGCCCACTAATTAAAACGCAGCTATGTGACAAGTGGTTAAATATCCGTTTTAACTAGCATAAAACAAAGCTCAAAATTCTCTAATTAAATTTAATTAAGGTGTCCGACGTATAGGAACTTACCCTATTGGTCCAGAGCTAAAATGTCATTGAACAATTTCAATAATCTACTGGGTTACGGTTTTTTATGATATCTCAAAAAAATATATTTTTTCACATAGTCGCGTTATAGTTACAACCCGAGTATCTTTAATTTGCGACTGAATAGGCATCTTTTTTATGATACCAAATGACGGTACGAACAAGTCGTGCGCCTGGTGATAAGCGACACACCGGTCCATAATAGTTTCAGTGCCACTCAGAGCTTCATATCGAAAAGATAGGAGGAGCACTGCCACTGCGCCCGTCACCCAGAGATATAAGTTGCCAAGTTCCCTGTGCCTGTAATTTCACTAGCTCTCTTACCCTTGAACAATGCTCACATTACCTCTTGGCGGTAAAAATAGGTTAGGTGGGAGCACTTCCTTGGACGAACCCTTCCGCAAGTAACTCTTCTGGGCGAGTTCGTTCCATCGTAGACCCTATCTTTCTTCCACGGCTATATAATGGTCAAGAGCAAGTCAAGTGTTTAAAAAAAATTATTACATCTTCCGTTAAAATTGTAATTTACGTTTATTTATGATAGGGATAATACGATGGAAAGCAATTGGCATAAGTAGTAGTACTAAGTAGAAAATTATAAAAGATTTTAGTAATTCCTACTATTTTATATAGATAATTAATTTGTTACATTTTCGAAACGGCTATACTGAATTAATCTACTTAAGTAAGTAGTTTTATACATATATTCCTTAACAAATATTTTATACAATATATAAAAAAAAACTTATTAAGCGTATTCTATACAGACATACATAATGTATATGCTTAAGGTTGCACATGTCTATAAACACTTGTATTTAATATTGTATTTTTGTGTTACATAAAAGATAACTAAAACTTTTAGGATACAATCAACATCTGAATACGTAAGTTGTGTACAATAATTTTCGAAAATTTACTCAATTTACTAATGTAGAGTTGCAAAAATTACAGTTTCTTAAGATCTTACAATTGTGTCCTTAATAAGTGAATACTTTATTATAATACATCTCAAAGAAACCTATGGAAAAAAATGTTTTTTCTACTTTTGTCTACTAGGAACATCGATGTACCACACAGGGTTGTATTTAGTGTCAAGTTAGACTTGGAGACCCCAGCTTAATATAAATTAACTTTTGATTATGAAGCTTTAAATCCTATTGTAGTATTTAGTGTTTCTGCGCTGTCATGTGTAAGGCGATTAGTAAATTTAAACAATTTTTCTGTCGGCAGTCAAACTAACGATAGAATTAGAATCAAAGATTTTTTGACGTAAGATTACATAAACGTTTCTTTTACAAACCGGCCCCTGTTATTAAATACAGTTAAATAAATCGATTTTTTAAATAATTGAATATTATGAGATCGAAGTTTCAATTTATAATTAACTAGGTATAACAAAAAATTATTGGCTATAAATGTTTGCGCTTATTTTGTCTGAAACCCAAAGTTGTTCATTAGTGAATCGTAAAATTGTTTATTGCTAAGTGAAAAAAAACTGTTATTAAAAGTCTGCAATCAAGCTACGTAAGTTCGTTGTGATGTTCAAGTAGCTTTATAAAGTGCCTATTGCTTACTTTATAAGTAAATGTTTCTATTAATGCCAAATTTTAAAACTCAAAATTTAAAATAGAAATGAAATTATGTATAGATATTTTATAATAGTAAATCTATGATGAATTATCTTACTTAGAAAAAATTGTAAAATATTAATGGAAAATTGTTACGTACGTACAACAAGAAAAAATGTGATATACTTGTAACGTACTTGGAAAGTTTACCGCTTCTTACTTAATGCATTAGGAAAGTAATTCTGTTACTGTATTGTGCAAATGAGCCTTGTCAAACAAAAACATTTTGACACAAATAAAAAGTGGAAATGTAACTTAATTGTACGTATTCCAGTGAAATGTTAAATGAATTATCTTTTATTTTATGAGAACTTGCATAAATAACATACGTTGTTTGCAATTTAAATTGAATATTTTCAATAACTATAAGTATGTTAAATTACAGGGGCCTAAAGCGGCGCGGGCGCCTCTTAAGAATTAGTCCAATCAAATTGAATAAAAACTCTGTACTCTTGATAGCAATATCAGTTATAGAGGTATTAAATATATTTATAAAATTTTCATATGACTTTCATTTAACCTTTAGTACATTGTCCTTAAATACACTTCTGTTTACAGTAAAAATAACAAAGAACAATTTGCAATAGACATGCACGCTATATTATCACGCCTGTATACCATTGGGGTAGGCACAGTGGACCTCCACTTGCTACGTCACTGGCACATCTCTTGCGCTCCCCTCTATTACTTTGCTATAGCGGTTCTGTTAGCTATTACCTGTCGGAATAAATGAGGCCTCTGATATCCATCGTAATCTTTTTTTATTCTCAATTACAATAAAATTCACAAATCTAGTTTCTATTTACACAGAGAGAGGGTGAAAACGGACAACACTCCTTTTTGAATATAATGACAGTTAAGGGTCAATATTTTCACTCACACTTGTTTTTGTGGATACTTTTTTAAGGAGTTTGGGCCGTTAGTATGACTAAATAATAGCATATTACATATTATAATAATAATAATATAAAAATAAACTATACGTTAACTATTACTTACACTTAACAAATAAATAGCTTTCATTCATTTGTTAGTTCAGCTACGCGATGCTAGATGGCGATGGTGCGTTTTTAAAAATATCCTCACGCCCTTCGTCGCAAATTTACACTTAACACAAAGATAAGTAAACATAAATTCTACAAGGTAATAACGTTTGCTGAAAAATACTATAATTTATTATATACGCACAAGCAGATATACTTAAATAATATGTGATAGTTTTAAAAGTAATAAAAGTTAAAACTCTCACGAATGGGTTGAATTGGGCTGCGTTAAAACGAGAAAATGCAACATAAATTTTATTCTCTAAAAGATAAGGCAATATTTCATTGAACATAAAACGAAAATGAAGCTGCAGTATTCGGTGGCGGGCTACGGCGGGTTCAGGCGGTTGGCGCGGCATGCGCACTTTATAAAATGCAATATACTATAGAACATAGTCTCTACTAAATTTAGTATATAATAGGGGTTAAAGTATGAAATTTCCGATTTGTACTGAAAATCTAAATTGTTTATTTTTTAAATTTTTAACAAATTTATTTAATCAAAATAGTTGCCATTATTATCTATACATTGCTGCCATCTAATGGGAAGGTTATTAATGCCTTTGCGATAGAACTCCGACGATCTAGACTGCACAAACTGTGTGAAAGCATTTTGTACTGCCTCCTGGGAAGAAAACTTCTTGTCACGTAGATAATTGTCCAAATCACGAAAAAAATGGTAGTCCGTTGGAGCAAGGTCTGGTGAATACGGAGGATGACGAATGGTTTCTAACTGCAGTTCCTGAAGGGTCAAAATGGTTTCTCGTGCTGTGTGAGGTCTCGCGTTGTCGTGGAGCAATAATGGTGAAGATCGATTCATGAGTCGGGGCTGTTTTACTGCTAGTTTTGTCAACATGGTTCGGAGTTCGGCACAATAGACATCTGCCGTTATTGCTTGACCAGATCGGAGAAAACTATAGTGAATAACACCATGCTGAGACCACCAAACAGTTACCATTACCTTTTTA